ATAACCTGTGTTCCCACTGTAAAAATACTATGTGGTCAAAAATTCCTTTTAAATATCACAGTACTAAACTTTTCCAAAGCCCCAATCTCATAAAGTCCCGACAACGTAGTTTTTAAAAGCCGCATTCGTTTTTAATGGAGTTTGGCACATCTGTGCTTCAGTTTGTTTCATGCTCCCTTAGGGAGGACCCAGAGGCCTGCAGCCCTCAGCGCCTCTCAGTCCCCTTTGCTTAGATGATAACAAGGAGACTACGATGCTCGCAGGGATGTTTCCTGCTTTATCATGAAGCTGAGGGGAAAAGAAAGTTATCTTCTTAGAAGCGGTTCTTCTAAATGGAGGCAGGAGGAGACCTAGCACCATCTATTCCTGTTCTTTCTCCCTTGTCAGGATCAAGGCTCTGAGCCAGCTGGCACCTGCTGCAGGGGTCACTGGGTTAGGCTCAGCTGTGAGAATGCACCCTCCCAGTGGCCCCACAAAGGCCCTTAGTGTGTACACAGAATCAGACGGTCAGCACCAATAAGAGCTGATGGTTTCTGAGGGGTCTGTCCTCTGCTCTCTGAGGCGCAGGTGTGGTTTTGAGCTGGAACCACTGGGTGTGGAGTGGGCACAGGCTGCCTCAGCTCCCTGCAATTCCACATCAGCCCAAGAGTAAGGAGAATGGCACGCAGGCTCCTGACCCGATTGCAGCCAGGATCACGTTAGGGTCACGTGGAACTTGGTGTTCACGCGCACGAGTGGACGGTTGGGGAATCCAAAGCTCTGGCTTTCCTGCAGGCTGCCTGAGGGAAGGTCTCTCTGTACCTTAGTGTGGAAATGGCTCCTAAGAGGCCCTGGGCTTGCCTTTGATGAATGTGTCACAAGACAGTTGTGGGGAATAACTGTTGTGATACTTGGCGATGTCAGTTTGAGAAGGCACTTGTCATCGTCCTCACTCTTCGTGGCTTGGAGAGCTGTTGAGATACTGTAATAGCTTTCGGCCCAAATATTGAGACTGCTGAAACAGGGACGGCAGACATCTGTGCGTACTCCAGGCAGCTCCTTTTTTGGAATTGGAAAATTCCACTTACTCTTATTTTTACCCCTTAAAGCAGGACTGGACAGAGATGGGACCCTGGCCCAGCATGCGAGAGGAATAAACCGTGGCAGCCCCTCCCAGTGTGTGCTGAAACAGGAGGAACCCAGTTATCTGGCATGTGATGCCCCAGATTTGGAGCCGGTTCCTGCAGTGAAAGTCTCAGAATAGTCACCTTGAAATTGGCTGAGGTTGGGTGGCGAGAAACACCCCTAATCAGACCTTTAAAAGTGTGCTGTAATGCCAGAGAACATGGCTGCACCATCATCTCAGCTCCCAGCCTGAGAGGCAACTGTGTGGGGCTCTGAGTTTCAGGGTGGGCCTGCACACACAGATGGGGTGACGTAGGGTGCCAGAGAGGGTGGAGGTGGTGACTCCTTTTAAAATGCACGACCTTGGTACAATGTCATGTTAGGTGATCATAACCAATAGTCAGAGAAAGTCGGTAGTCATTCTTGGGACAGCTTCATAGGCCAGCCATGGTGCTAGCAAAGTGTGGTTGGACAAAGTAGACCTGTAAGAGAATAATTTGGAATTTAGATATCAGACAGACACTTTAAATCTATATAAAGTACTTGCATGTATGTTGGCAGCACATACACTAAAGTTGGCAAAGCTGAGAAGATTTGCATGACCCCTGGGCAAAGATAGCATTTAGATTCTATTAAAAACAAATTGATGTTAAAAGTGAAATTGGAATTTGGTAATATCCTGAAATTTTTGGAAGTGAACAATGAAACCAAAAATCCAAAGTATCCCAGGATCTACAATACTTCTAATTCTCAGAAAAACGTCAGATATTCAGATCAAGGGTGCTCTGCTGATGGAGCCTGGGCAAATAGTTCCCAACTCCAGCTGTTGTTATCTCTGGAACTCCGTTTGTAGCATTTCCCACTTGGGATTCAGCCTTAGAGCAGAGATGCCAGCCAGGCCCAAGCCTCTGGCTGATGACACTTCCCTCTTTAGGAAATGGTAGAGGACAGTGTCCTGTGTTGTTTTGGTAGTTTACTAGGCCTGGTTTCATTGGACGCAGGTGCGTCTGTTCAGCAGAGTCACCAAGTGGTGGGAGTGTCCCGTTTAATCATGGACTGCTTTCTCAGAGTCTTCATTCCCAGGTCCCTGGATGGATTACCTCATTGTTAAACTTCTGGGTTCGGGCCAGTTCCCTATAGTTGGCTTGTGTTTCCTGAGTTTGCTGAAATTCTGGAGCCTTCACACAAGTGTGCTCCCATGGGTGTTCTTGGGTGAGCATTGAAATAGGGATTTTGTGTGTCGTATCTTGGAAGTGGTGGGGTGTTTCTGAAAGTCCTTCACTTGGTCTCCTGACACCTGTGAAGCCAGCCTTCTGTAAAGCAGGGGGAGCCCTGGGAGGGTTCTGTGCATTTCAGCCATCTAGAGGCTTCTCTCATGGCAGGGTCCAAGGGAGCAGACAGGGCGCTGTGTGGGGTATCTGCTGGAGGGAGGGTCACTGGAGAGAGTCTGTGCTTATGTCTGGAGAGGTGGAGCCTCTCAGGTCCCATTCTTTGCCTCTTGCTGTGGAGACAATGTCCTAATGGGGACAGGAGCATGAGTCCAGACAGGGAAGCTTCACGTAGATCCAGCCCTGAAGTTTACCTCCATGGGCACGGGGCAGGGGCTGCTGGGATGACTGGGTGGCACTTCTGGGGTGAGGATAGGACATAGGCAAAGTCCCACGAGGCCAGCCCCACCCCTGGAGGGACCACTGTCCCAGCCAAACCCAGAAAGAAGCATCCTGTGTCCTACTTGGAGACACTTAGGTCACCCCACATGCACACCTCCTCTTGTGAGTACAACGCCTTAAGAGCGTGTCTCAGGCTTGCCCACTAGCTACCGTGACCCACAGAGATGGTTTCTCGGGCAATTGGGCTATACAGCACTCAGGTATCTTTAAAGCTAGACTCAGAGGATCGTGGGGAAGATTTTTAAATCTCCACACAAATTCTGCTTTCCCCAGGCCCTGGTGAGTGTGCCAAGCCTGATCTCTAGGTCCAGGGTAGGAAGGAAGAGGTTTTCCCAAGAATAGCAAGTTGCTTTGCAAACATCACTTTTTCCTTTGAAGTTTGACTTCATCTGTTTCATCAAGAAACATCAGATCCCCTATATCTTATTTCAAAAGTAAAATCAAGGAAGTAACACGGACAGCTACCTCAGTTTGTGTGCATTCTTCTCTGTGAGCAAGTTTTGACTGTTTGGTATGTCCTCTCAAGGCATGTGCGGACTGACCCCTGGCTGAAGTTGTGAATATTAGCAGTAGCCGTGCCAGCCAGTGGCGCCCACACCACTTTTGGTGACACTCTACTTTTTCCCACCGCTATGGCGTCCTTGCCATTTTCTTGCTGGGGTCACTCAGGTGGAGGGAGCCCCGGTTTAGACAGATTCGGCAATGGTGGTAGAGTGTGGGTACAGCTGAGCTTTCAGCCGTTGTACTTGGGGTGTCTGCTCTGTGTCAGCTATGACAGAAGTCCTTCTGAGAAGGGGATGCCGTCTCTCTTCTAGCTGAAGAATCTGATTTGGGTACCTGAAGTCGCAGAGTTCTCCTGTGACTTTGACATGCCCATGGAGCACGTTTGAAAGCTTGTTAGGGGGCAGCTGTTTTGTCCCTGCTTACACAGTACATCTCCACCTGACCCTTTGCTGGGATTCTGCTTTGCTTTTCAGGATGGGAGATCCCAGCGCGAGTGTGTGTCTGTGTGCTGCTGTGTTGGAAGGGTTCATTGTGTTCTGTCATTGAATGAGTTGGAAGTCAGCAAAGGCAAGCAGAATCCCTTGTTAAGTCAGTTGGGTTAGGTGCACACAAAAGGAGAGAGGGCTGGTGTGTGTGTGTGTGTGTGTGTGTGTGTGTGTGTGTGTGTGTGTGTATGTGTGTGTTCACAATTTGTATGCTTGTGTGGGAAGGACAGCCAGTCCCCCTTGGCCTCAGTAACTACTTATTTAATGAAGGTCTTGGATACTTTGACTTGGTGTGGAAATGTAATTATGCAGTTTTATGGGAGATGAAGTGACCCAGACCCGAGGTTAGGGCAGAAGTGGTTCTGGAAGGTTCTTGCAGATTTGCTTGGAGTTCAGTGGGTTCGTTGGGGTTCCTGTGAAGCATCTACATAGAGGACCAGGAGCCGATGCATACCCCACAGTAAGACAGAAGCCCTTGTGAGAGTGACCAGAGGGGACTCGGAGCAGTTTGTCTTGGGAGGTTCCATGTCTCCACTGTGCAGACCTCAGGGTCCCGTCCTGGGTGTGTTTGGGGCCACTTTCGGGCCTCCCTCTGCCAGTCTTTCTTCCCTTTGTCCCGACATCCCTGCAGGGCCCCAGGCGGCTTCTCGCTAACCCCGTGTGGTCTCTAACCTGCTTGTCAGTTGGCTGCACCGCTGTCTCGACTGTGCAGTTCCATTGGTAGCTTTGTCTAACGTGTGTAGTAGTCGGGCATCCTTCCCTAACTGTGACCTGTGACTCCGGAGACACCATCCTCATGTTGTTCTATGTTTTCCTCCCAAGCACTGGGTTTCCCTTGAGGAGAATGCAGGTTCTCAGGTGCTGCTAAGCATGAAAAAGCATTTCTGGGTTTTGAGAGCCCGCCCTCGCCCATTGACAGTGGGTGAGAATCTGTCCATTCATGCATTAAGTTCTGCATGAAAAGTCTGTGCTCCTCAGCCAGGGTTCCTGGCATTGCAACTGGAGGCCGAGCCTTCTAACCAGAAGGGAGCATGTGTTCTTAAACAAATGTTCAATCAGACTTCAGTTCTAAAAATGCAGCGCTTGTGGGAGACATCTAAAATCCACTCCGTTCTCCCAGCCAGCTAGCCCCCAGTGGCCACCTGGCCTAGAGTGTATTTTTCCGCAAGAGAAGCCCGTGTCTGTCTGCCCCCCGCCCTCTGATTCCTTCTGTAACCGTGTGTTTTGTGTGTGGCAGGTGGCAGGTTCAAGAAGGAGATTGTGGTTGACGGACAGAGTTATCTGCTGCTGATTAGGGATGAAGGGGGTCCCCCGGAGGCACAGGTGAGTACTGCATGCACATCCAATCCAGACTGTCTTTTGCTCTTTGATGAACTAGAAACGTCAAGTGTTAGAATAAGGGGATTTAGAAACTCATGATGTTTGAGTCTTCTTGGCCCATGTCAGTCCCCGCTGAACACTGGTTTGCAGTGTACTGTGATTCCCTTGGAAAATATCTAGGAAGATAAGACACGACTTTTGTCTGGCTTATTGTTTTCCTGACACCAAGATCTTCTAGTTCGTGAAAAGAGCTGAGACCTAAGGACAGCTCACACCCAGCTAGCGCAGACCTCATTTCTGTCTTGAACATCTGTCCTGGTAAAAGTTGGATTACACGCAGTGGTGACTGAGGCAGATGTTACTGAAGACCCGAGTACCCATTGGAAACGCTGTGAGTCGCTGCATTCCCAGCACTGTAACAGCAGCGCCTTGGACAGTGCTCCCAGTGAAGCGATGAAAAGCACTTAGAGGAGCAGTCAGAGATACTGAGATGGAATTATCTCCCTTTAATATGATTGATACAGTAGCTTCTTTTGCTGATGCTGTGATAAAATGCCCTGTGAAAAGCAACTTAAGAGAGAAAGGGTTAATTTTAGCTCACAGTTGAAGAGCAGTCAGTCCATCATGACCAGAAGTCCAGATGGCAGGAGGCTGAAGCAGCTGGTCACGCTCCATCCACCTTCGGGAAGCGGAGAGTGATGATGGGGGGGGGGGCGCTGCTCAGGCCCCTTTCTCCACTTGTCCAGTCCAGGATCTCAGCCAGGGAATGGTGCTGCCCACAGTGGGCGTGTCTTCACGCCTCAACTCAGACAAGGTAATCACCGACAGATACGGCCAGAGACCATCTCCCACATGATTCCAGATTCTGTCAAATTGACGTGAACCATCACATGTAGACTTGATTGTAAGAAAAAAAGAATCATGAAGGCACATTGAGAGGGGAAATGTTGGTTGCATAGCGGTTAGATGACATGCTCCCCCTACACTTACCACCTGCTGCTGGACCACAGCCCCCTTTGGCTTCTGACCAGTGCCACCCAAAGGCAAAATCTCTCCTCTTCCCTTGGCTTGGCATATGAGGAGTGTGTTCTGCTATAAGAAGGGTTCTCAATGTGGGTTCCCTGAGAAGGGACACACCTCTTGCTCCTAGTGTCGACTCTTCTTAGATGGAATTTAGCCCACACTTCTCCTGGTTAAAGGCTTCTTCTCCATGGAACATCATGGCAGAGCCATGGGTAGAGTTCTTTGCATTGTTATACATCCTTAAATAGACAACCTGAAGGCAGTGGCCTCATAAAAGAAATTGATAAGGTGGTTTTTTTATTGTTTTGTTTTTTAATTGTTACTACTATTAACTTAGGGTCATGCAGAAACTGCTATTCTATTGTCCTTTGCTGTTTCTTGCTTTCCAAAATTGCAATTTTCTGATGCAGAAGCCTTTAGAAAAGAGGAAAAATGATGAGGGGAGCAGAGAGAGAGAGAAAGAGGGAGAGCGTGCCAGCGTGAGTGCACAGAGGGAGAGGACTTGTTCTCCTCTGCATAGAGGTGCACTTGTTCCAGATTTCAAGTGAGGGGCTGCCATCTCCCCTGGGGCAGCTTAGCCCTCCTCCTGTGCTGCTGTTCAGGGCAAGGCCTTCCATTTTCCACTTCGGGAAGGAGACTGTGTCTTAGTTGCTTTTCCTGTTGTGATAAAATTCACTGACAATGTAACTTAGTAGAGCGAGGGTTTATCTAGACCAGGATTCCAGGGTGTAGTCCATTATTTCAGGCAAAGTCAGGGCAGCAGGGAACTTGAAAGAGGGAGTCACATGGCATCCACAGTCAAGGGCAGGAAGCAGGGAGCTGATGCACTCCGTTTTAAACGGTCTGGGACCTACACGTAGGGAGTGATTCTGCCCAGAGTGGGTATGGCTTCCATCTCAGTTGTGATCAACAGAGTCCCCATAGGTCAGAGGCCGGTGTCCTAGGAGATCATAGGTTTGTCAAGTGGGCTGTTGACATTACCATCACCGAGGTAAAGGCTCCCCTCCTGGCAGGGAGAAGAGAAAGGCACCCTGTCAGATGGACCCCAGGCTTCCTATGCGTCCACCGCCCTGCCCTGTACACGGGACTGGGATGTGTCTGCAGGTCTGCCTCAAGAAAGCTTTGCCCTGAGGTCATTTGAACTTGTGTATGCAGCATTCGACATGAGGGTTTAAGGCTTTTGTGTAAATATTCCACATTTAAATAAATATGGCTTGTTGTTTCTCTCTCTCTCTCTCTCTCTCACACACACACACACACACACACACACACACACACTTGTGCACAATGATGAATTGGGAGCCCTGCCTTGCCATAAGTACTTACCTAGGATAAGCTTCTTCTGGAGAAGGGGCTCTCTTGTCTGTTTACACGTGTAAAGAAGGGTGTTTAGTACCAGACTCAGACAGTATCTTGAAGCTGTCACGCCAGCTTCTGTGAGAGTGGGCGCTGGGCCCTGCAGGGAGCCCCACTCCTTGGGCTTCACCCTCCCTAGGGAGCTGACATAGGAGAACTGGGTATAGATGAACCTTACAGCTCCCCTCTTAACTTTGCTAAAAATAAATAGTAATTTCCCAGCAGGGAGCTGAATGAGTTTCGTGGCAGCTCAACCTCTGCTGTACCAGGAACTCACTGGAAAAGGCACGTCTGTCTCTGTGGTGGACAGTGTGGGCACCGGGACAGTTTTAAGCAGACTGTGCGACCACAGCCTCCAGTCCACTAAGTCTTTCTTAGGTTCTGAGGAGGCTGGGTGGAACTGCCCCACCCCCCATGCCGGTCCCCAGATGGGGAGCCTTCTGTCTGCAGGATCAGTCAGGACAGAGGGTGGACACTTGGGATCACAGTGACCACAGGGAGACAACAGGACTGGGGTCTCAGAAAGGGAAGGGCCCTGGGGGAAACATGGGGAGCAGGATGCTCCATTCCCATGTACATATGGAAGACTTCAGGGACCTAGCCACAGTGCATAGCAGCAGAGGTCAGGCAGCAGACACAGCCTAGGGGACCCCTGGCACTCACAGAGGTGTGGCCTCACTCCTCCTCCTGAGCCCCCCTCAGCTGCTCCCTCTCCATTCTTCTCTCTGCAGTTCGCCATGTGGGTGGATGCGGTCATCTTTGTCTTCAGCCTGGAGGATGAGATCAGTTTCCAGACTGTCTACCATTACTACAGCCGAATGGCCAACTACAGGAACACCAGCGAGATTCCACTGGTGCTGGTGGGGACCCAGGGTGAGTGCCAGTCCTGCACCGGTGATTTCGAAGGGGTTGGGAAATGGCCTTAAAGCTGGAACTGGTGACTGAGGCGTTTCCTGATTGGTTCAATGGAGAAGCCAGTCAACCTCAGACAGAAATCTGCCCAGTCCCACACAACAGCCCAGGGGCTTTAGGAAGACCTACTCTCCTGTGCTTTCTACATTATAATGCTTTAGTTGCCTTTTGCAGTAGACACCTTTTAATCTTGATTATTTTTATTAAATATCTGATATATTGTGACCTTCAGTACCCTTTTCAGTTAGTACTAGCGCTGACACACAGCTGAGCTTTGCCTCGCCCTTTCTGTTTCCCGTGTCCTCGTGGTCTCTCCTCTACCCAGTAGCTCATTCACAGTACGGGGAAGCTGGGGCTCTACTTTTGATGGTCTTCAGTGTCACTTGAAACATGGCTCCTTAATAAGGTGCTTGTCACACAGCTCTCACTCCTGGTCAAAGACTTGCTCTCATAAGCCGGCCACTGGAGTCCAGCCAAGATTGTAAGCAAAAGTGTAGTATCCTTTTTGGTTTTTCTTAATTTTTAACTGCTTTTGTTATTTCTCTTGTGTATAGTCTTCCTTGCCAGTCACCTGGGCCCTGCTGAGCTGCCTGAACCCCCAAATAACACACAGGATGCTATATTAATTATGAAGCTGTTGGCCTTACTTGTTTCTTACTGGCTAGCTCTGACTTAAGTATTTACCCCATAATTGTTAATCTGAGTATTTCTCTTACCGGAGCAAAGGGTCCGGACCTCTTACTCTGGCGATCTACATCATCACTCTCTGTGTCTCTTTCCCAGAATCTTTCTCCACTCCTAGTACCTACCTGTCTTGCTTCCCTATTGGCCAACAGTGCTTTATTCAACAACCAATAAGAGACAGATTTACAGAATGGCATATTCCATTACTCTTAGAACTGGTAAATCTGGTGTTTACCAGTTAAGTGCAGTCAAGACTCTGGGCAGAGTTTGAGAAGCAGTGTATTAATGGACAGACTGTATGTCCTCCGTTTGCTACTTGTTAAATAATAGCGTTATATTTTCATGGAGAACACTATTTCTGTTTTGGTGCATGCAGTGACTTGCTTCTGAAACCTGCAGCTCAACCCAACCTAAAAGCAAAAAGAAGACATCTTTGTTCCTTTAGCTCCCTCTGCTGGTCACCTGGAGGTAGTGCCTTGGTTCTTACTGTAGAGAAGTCAGCCCTTCTGTTTTCATGAGGCCCAGCCACAGAGGTTTAAAATGTGTGTGGTGGTGCACACCTGTAATCCTGGCACTAGGGAGGTTGAAAAAGACCAATAGCCATGAAAGGCTAGACAGGGCTACAGAATTAAACTGTCTCAAATTTGCAACCCCTGGTGTGGAGGCCCATGCCTCTAATAGAGGCACTGTGGTGGATCTCATAAGTTCAAGGTCTTTGTAGCAACTTCCAGGCCAGCTAGGGATACACAGTGAGACCCTATCTGAAGAGTGCGTTGGGGGTGGGGAAGAAAGTGATTTTTAAGAAGTCAACAACACTGAACTTGTGTTGTACACAGTGCACGAGACCATACATACATCTCAAGTAACCCAGAGAAGTATGCAGACAGATAATCCAGGTCCTATTCAAGAATCGTACCATCCCATGGAAGGGACTGGAACGTCTGTGCGTTTGTGTACCTAAGGAAGATGGCATTGTGCGGCATGGCTCAGGTTCCTGCTCTGGAGGTCTTCAAATGGCCAGTCATCTCCCAGGCAGGATTTCCCCACAGCTGGCTTGGAGCAGGAGAGAGGAATTCTGAATGAGTGCTTCTCCTTGGCTGGCCCAGCAATTCCCAGCAGCTGGTCTGGTGTCTTAAGGACCTTGTGGACCTGCATCTGAGACGACGCTTTCCCCAGTGGACTCTCATCTGCATCTGAGACGATGCTTTCCCCAGTGGACTCTCATCTGCATCTGAGACGACGCTTTCCCAGTGGACTCTCATCTGCATCTGAGACGATGCTTTCCCCAGTGGACTCTCATCTGCATCTGAGACGACGCTTTCCCCAGTGGACTCTCATCTGCATCTGAGACGATGCTTTCCCCAGTGGACTCTCAGTGACTCCTGCTCACAGCTGGGCTGGAAAGAACAGATCTGATTGCTGCATTTTCTCTGCACACTAGTGTTTGTTTCCGTTGGTGAAGAAGTGGAGTATGAGCCCAGGCATGGGAGGGTAGAGTGAGGAATGGGTTGAAGGCATGTAGTCATGTGTCAAGGGTCAGTCTGTGGACACAGGACCTGACCTTGATTGAGGGTTCTTTTTACCTCTGATATGTCAATGTGGGACCAGTTGTTCTCAGGCCCTGCTTAGACCTTGCTAGTGATGGGCTAAGAGACACAGGGCACCTATGCCAGGAAGCTTGACTGTGAGTGGCTTCCCTGTGATTTGCTGTCAGTACCCGTGTGCTGCGTGCACACAGGGCTCCCGAGACATCTGTGCCACCACTAGGGACATAGGCAGTGAGGCTGCTCAGGTGACATGAGAAGGTATCTGAGGTTTCTTTTCTGCTGGCTGGGGGATGGGGTTTTAGAGGCCAGAGGTTGTTAAGGTGTAAGAAAGGACTGAAGAGCAGTTCACCCTTAGGGGCACCTAGCCTGCAGGAGGCCAGTGCTGGGAGGCCTGCTGAGCTCACTGTACCTTCTAAGACAGGGATGGATGCTATGCCTGTTCACAGCAGGGACACATGGCGAGCGAGGGGTCCCTCCCCTCAGTGCTCATTAGGCCAGCTCTACCCCCAAAGACTTGCAAATGGAAGGAGAAGCAGGTTAGGAAAATTGCCAAGTTAAAGTGGGTGCGAGATGGGGCCAGGTAGAGCTGAGCCGAGCTGCAGGCCCAGAGGCACCTCTGTGACACACATCCATCTGTGGGTGCAGCCGCTGCAGGATTGTTGGGGTCCCAGGCTGGATAGAATGTGAATGAGGTGGGGCCCCCATGGCCTGTGCTTCCCAAATTAGACACAGGCTTTGAGAAATGGTGGTTTCTAATGGTTTTCCTTTCTGTTTCTTAAAGGAATGTTTAGACCTTTATAAGGGACCGCTTTCCCTCCTTGTAAGTTAAATGTTGGTACACTTACTTGTCCTGCAAGACCGATGAAGTATTCTCACGTGGACTGTATCTAAGGGATCTCTGTTGGGGACAGTATTGTCACATGGACACTGCATGTCCAAAATCACACATTGTTTTTGTTTTTTTGTTGTTTGGTTTTTTTTGTTATTATTGTTTTTTTTTTTTTTTTGAGACACAACAAGAAGTGAGCCTAAAGGATAGGTTTGTGGGTCTCTAGGCTGGTCTTGAATTCAATCCTCCCAAACGTCAGGACAAGTATGGGCCTTCTTGCTCCCACCATTCTATACCTAGCTTATTATTTTGGGGTGAACTATTTTCAGAATTTCAGTTTTTGGGAGAAATGTAATCTGCAGGGGCTGTAATGGGCTTTGAGTTGCAGGGAACCCCAGAACTGCAGAAAGCAACCGGCTGTGGGGCAGGTCTGAGCCACATGGGCTCTTGAATTGTGGGAAGCAGCCACTGACGAGCTCCCTGCCCTTGTCTGTCGCAGATGCCATAAGTTCCACTAACCCGAGGGTCATCGATGATGCCAGGGCACGGAAGCTCTCCAACGACCTGAAGCGCTGCACGTACTACGAGACATGCGCCACCTATGGGCTCAACGTGGAGCGGGTCTTCCAGGACGGTAAATGCCCAGCTTGTGACTGCAAGGACTCTGAGACATACAGAGTGACACACAGAGTCCCCCGCTCTGGACGAATCGTCATTCGCGGGTGGGGAGACAGAAGCCCACCATGCAGTGCGGAGGCACCGGTGTTGGGGCCTGGGGCAGTTCCTAGTTGCCCTTTCAGAGCATATGCGGGTGGGTCACACTGTGCAGTCTGCTCTGCACAGATGAGGAGCTCCTAAGGGCTCCGCAACCCCACCGTATGCAGAGTCATGGCTGTAACTGCTTGTTCTTACTCAGGCTCTGTCTTGAAGGTTAAGCATTTGACACTTGGCCCAGGGGAAATTAAACTGAAAGAGTAAACTTTGAACCTGGGAAAGTAAAGTTAAAACCGGGGACTAAGAGCACAGCCAGCCTGAGGAGCTGCCTTATCTTACTGGATTGTTACTGCCTGCCCACCTCTAGGAAAGTGGAATCCGGGGTGGGGCTAATGCTCCCGCAGGAGCTTCTGGCCCTACCACGGGGGGAAGGGGGGGCATATTCATGTCACTCATGGTGATGCCAACTGTAGGTTATGAAAAACCTGTCTGTAAAACAGGACAGAAGGAAAGGATGACCTCTAGCCTCAGGGACTAGAAGTTCTGGAGAAAAAGTGGGCTTAGAGTTGAGGTCTTAGGCGGGGACTCCAGGAAAGTTCCTAGCCCTGGCAGCTGTTGGCAGGAGTCAGTTTGAAGCCCTTTGGTCTAAATCTACATGTGGTAAGCCACTTCTGTCCCCTTGTTGGAGGTTGGCAGGGAGCAGACTGGGGTAGGCTTGGATCCTTACAGAAGCATAAATATCAAAAGCCCTGAAGAAAACTCGCTGCCCGTGGTATGGTCCGGGAGCTGGGGCCACGAGTTTAGTTTACCCAGCAGAATGCCTGTGTAACATGCTTGAAGGTCCTAAGATCAACCCCCAGCACTACATAAACTAGGTATGGCGGCATGTCATTGTAACTTCAGCACTTGGAGGTAGAGACAGGGGGACCAGGAATTTAGCTATATTTCAAGTTTGAGGCTAGCCTAGGCCACATGATACCCAGTCAGAAAGCAGAAACTATAATTTTGGGATATTTGACCAGATGACCTGGGATATCCCATGGACTCTCCAGCTGAGATTGTGGAGACCATCTCTTTCTATTGTAAAAGATTTGAGCAGCATGCCACATTTCCGTGTTTGTATTCTGCCCCCTCCTGCGGCAGCCAGGCTCTTCCAGAACTTTGCAGTCTCTGCCTCACAGACAGTGACCTCTTTTCTGGCACACGGTCCTGTTCCGTTCCTTCTGTCTCACTCTGCCTTTTGTCCTTCCTGGGGCCAGATCCACAGAAGCCGAAGATGCCCTGAGAACCAGCATGGCGCCTCTGGGCCCTGCCTTTCCTTCCCCATTCCCATGCATCCTGGGCCTCCTCAGGCACCTCTGTCTGCAGCACGTGCTTGCAGCCGCCCTGCTGTCCCCCTCATGGCATGAGCTGCACTGGGCTAGGCTGTTCCTCAGTAACCAGAGAGCTGGAAAGATGAAGCAAGTAAACACTTGTGGTCTTTCCAAGGCGTGAACTCTGACATGAGAGTTCACATTCACTGTCGGCGTGGCCCAGGCGCCTGTGTGAGCTGACCACGTTGACTGAAGGACTGGAAAGCCCTGACAGGGTCACAGGCAGACCTATCTGACTGCCTGCTTCTATAGATCAGAAGGTTCTGGACACCGTTGGTAGGGTCCTGACTCTCACTTGCCAGGGCTTCCTTTGCGGGCTGATACCTGTCATTCCTGGTGGCTGACAAGCATCTATCAGCGTGTCCTTATTCTGGGAAAGTGTGCGACAGTTCTCTAATTTAACTCCGCCATCCTAGCAAGGTTTCATTTATGCTTCAGTCACTGTTTGGGAAAGCGGTGCTTAGTCGTTCTGTTACCTCTGTCCCTGCCTGGTGACAGCTCACCTATATGAAAATACTGGTTGAGAGAGCTCACCTGCCTCTTCCTGGTTGTGGGGTACGTAGGAGGCCTCAGCTTACCTTACATCTATTGCTCGCGCAAACTTGAGATCCTGGTACACACAGGCTCCTATCACACATCTGCAGCCTCCCTGTCCTGGTTGCTGAGGCTCCCAGAGCAGGGCAGCTGTGTTGTGATGACACGGGTTGGAGCATCAGTGCAGGTTCTTGTCTGGGCCTGAGACAAAATCCGGCCATTTTGTTACACTGGTGCCATAGGCCTTTGTTAGCACTGTTTCAGAACTGTCACTCACGCTGCATAATCCTTTCTTGTAGTCAGCTGCATCCTCATTTGGGAGGCAGAGGGGTTATTACTTAGTTATTTCTGTTACTGTTGGTTTTCTCCTTTGTTTATGAAAAACTAAATGTTTTGGCAAAAGCATACATTCAAGTAATATTTTTCATCTTTGGAAGCAAGGCAGCCAGCCAGCCATAGATTATCTGGAAGTGTTTGAGACATTGAATATAATTGGAAAGGGGAACGAATGAGCCCGGCCCTGTTAACATACTCTCTTTGGTTCTGGTGAAGGAGGGCAGACCTGTTCCTCACACAAAGGCATCTGCTCCCAGTGTCACATGATGCCTCTGGCGTCCCACAAAGCTGGTACTTCTGGCACCTGCTTGCACTTTTCCATGTTACCCCTAGTTCTCCTGCCCCCCACGATGATCACTGATCCTTTAACAAGTGTTGAAACTTGTTAAAGACTCTTGGACTTGTCATAGCTGGACCTGCAGTCTCCTAAACAACAGTAAGGATTGACTTTGTGGTGGGGCAGGACGGGGTAGGTCTGATGTTCCAGTGACACTTGGTTAAAGGGGTCTCAGAACTGCGCAAGAGTGAGGCTCAATGCTGCTGTACACGGCTGGAGTGGGCAGAGAGCCAGAGAAAGCATGTTTCAGCTCTAGAGTTAGCCAGGCAGCCTGCTCAGATGCTTCCTAAGATGAGTGGTGGCCACCTGTTGTCACTGCCAACAGTTTCTCTGGCTGTTGTCATGGCACCTCATACAGTACAATCTGACAGAAATGAGAATCAGCAGGCTGTCTCCAGGCAGTCCCATGGGCTCAGGAGCCCTCCTCAGATGGAAAGGTCTCCTGCTCATGTCTGGTGGGAGAAAGCTTAATAGGTCAGGTGGCCCTCTCTTCTCTCTCTGCTGCAGCTTGTGCATATGTGATTTAATTAATTTTTAATGTTCTCTGTGTGGGTATTGTATGTCTGTGTGCCGTTTCCATGCCTGGTCTGCAGGGACCAAAGGAAGGTTTCAGATCCACTTGAACTATAGTTACAGATGGCTATGTGCTACCACATAGGTAACGAGGATTAAACATGGGTTCAGAGGCCAGTGTTCTTATCCACTGAGCCACCTCTCCAGCCCTTCCATACATACATGTTTTATAGTGACCGTTTTTATCAGACAGTAAATTCCCCAGCCTAGAGTAGCCTTATATCAGAGGGTTCAACCACAGACTGAATAATTAGTACCAACACTAAAACATTAGCTTTTGTGTATAAAACAGATATTCAGAGACTTCAAAAATGAAAAGGGGGAAAAAACCTTGAATAGTTTTGGGGGGGGATTATTCCAAAATCTCCACATCCATGGTGTGCTCTAATCAAGCTCATGCCCTTGGACGAGCCACACATTTGGTGGAGCTTCTGATGCACTCTGTAAATAGGCTTATGTTAAGATGAAATTAGTTCAAGTGACACTGAACTTTTCCAGGGTGAGTTGGGGTTTGTTTGAGATGATTATTCTTGAGCAGGCCAAGTTATTTCAGTCATGAATATGGCCATTTTTATCAGACCTGCCGTTTTTATCTCTGGTCCATTGGATTGTTCCGTGGGCTCAGAGAACCGCCTTTTAAAGAATTCACTCCTGCCAGGCGTTGGTGGCACATGTCTTTAATCCCAGCACTCAGGAGGCAGAGGCAGGAGGATTTGCCTGGTCTATAGAGCGAGTTTCAGGACAGCCTCCAAAAATAATACAGAGAAACCCTGTCTCGAAAAAACCAAAAAAAAAAGAATTCATTCCTTAGCTTATTAGCTGGTTTGTCTAAAGTCGGCCATGCAAATGGACATGTTTCGGTGGGTCTTGTTGTAATGATTGCTAATGTCTGTGGTCCAGACCACAGCTGCTGCCTTAATGATTTAGGTCAGGTCTGAAACCCCATGTTTCTTTTCTTCCTTTTGGAGATAGGGTCTCATGTAGTCAGGGCCGCCTTTGAGTGGACTGTGTAACTGAGGGTGAACTTTAACTCCTGTTCCCGCCACCTCTCAAATGCTGGAATTACAGGCGCGAGCCACTATGCCTCCTCTGTGTGATTCTGGGCATCAACCCAGATCTTACTGTGTAACCTCCTCTGGCTGTCACATGCTTGTGAGCCTCACATCTTGTCTTGGGTCTCTCTTGAGGAAAGGTATTTTCTGTCTGTCTTTGGATCTGAAGTGTCCCGGAGGTGGCCCTGTGTTAACACCTTGGCCTTCAGTTTTACTGCTGGGGAAATGGAACCTTTGGGGCTGGGGCCTGGTAAGAGGGCTTCAGGAAGGGAAGGTGAGGAGACAATGGTACCTTCTGCTTTCATTCCCGTTCTAGTCACGTGGCTCAGTACCTGCTCCCAGAGGTATGTGCCAGCCTCGTCTGAGGGTAGAGCAACAAGCCCAGTTAACCATGGGTACAGCTCTGAGACCGTGGGCCCACATCAACCTTTCCTCCTAGCAAGCTCACCATCCCCAGCATGTGCTGCAGTGGCACACAGTAGGAAGACAGAGAGTCCTGTTGCAGGCAAACAAAGACAAATGCACCTTTTTGTTTGATTGCATGGAGGGCTATATAGAAATGGAGGCCATGGTCTGTCCTGACAGTTTCATACACTTGTCTGGAATTCTTCATGCTGTGCCTCTTCTGGGAAAAGCTCTGTACACGGATGCTTGTATCTGCAGAAATGTCTGTGTCAACTCTCACGCTGCCAGAATTAGATCATTAAGCACACTA